TTAATGGAATAATTAAAATCTATCATAAAAAAATCAAGAGTTCAATTTCTTTATAAAATATGTATAATCATTTTCTCTTTTTTATTTTTCTGATATATAAATATAAAATTGTAGAATAAATATTAACTTTTAATCAAGAAATTATATTGTTTTATTTATGTTTAAATTGAGATTTCAATTTCTAGAGACAATTTAAACTGTTTTATTATCCTTAATTACCACTCGACTTTACATTATCATTGTTTTGCGCTGTTTTAATAAGTGTAGTTTCACACTAGTATATGTCCTAGTTTTCTATAATTAATTCCTTTTTTTCACGAAGTTCCTGCTAGTAAGTCTACATCGAATGTGACGGTTCTATCGACGGAAGATCATTTCTCTCGCAAAGTTGCAAGAGACTTTCTCCTTTATTTTCTCGTTCCTAACATTATAATTCCAGATGATAGGTTATTCTTGCATCACTGACGTCATGCTTTCAGTAAATATTCCCGATCCTTCAAATATTTTTCAATCTTTCGCGCGCTTTGACAGGTAGTCTCAAGTCTCTTACGCAAGAAAATAAATTTACGAATTATTATCACACTATTGCTGCCTGCTACATAGGGTATCTTATTTTAATCGTTTTACTTCAGTTATTCGTGTTTTATATCAAAATCACTCCAGCATTTAACAAAATTTTGTATATAAGTCAATGACAGTTAAATTATTTGTTTTTATATTAAATATCCAATTATTTGTCATATACGCCCGCACTTTTCGTCTCCTTTCACGTTGATCATGTGGTTGACCCCGACCAAAAGGATAGATCGTTGTTGTGAATCATGTGGATCCTTGCGTATCGCGGAATGCGCCCGATCGACTACGTCACGGCTTCGAATAGACCAAGGTTCCGACAAGTTCGAGAAAAAACACTGTGTTTGTCATTGATCAAATGGTTTTGGAAAAACAGAACGGTTATATTAAAAGTAAAGATTTACTCTTAATTTTAAAGATATTTCGATGTTCTGGTAAAAATATTGAATATCGTTAATTATTTTTTGTGTGGGAAATTTTTGCTTTTCTCTGTACATAATCTTATAATAGCGTTACATAAAAATAATTTAATTACATATTAAAAATAATTTAATTATATATTAAAATTATACGTAGCACGTGTTTTAGAAATTAGAATAAAAATGGATTTTTATTATTTTTAAGTATAAATTTACGTAAGCAATTTAAGTGAATTTAAATTTTTCTTATAGATAATTGCAAAGAAATTTTATTTATTCGCAATTATCTATAAGAAAAATTGTTGTTGTTTTATTAGTGTAAAACTTATTAAAACAGCGCAAAACAATGAAAATGTAAAGTCACGTGGCATAATTAAATATAATAAAAAAAGTTTAGTCTCTAGAAAATCTAGAAATTGAAATCTCAATTTAAGCATAAATAAAACAATATAATTTTATTTGTTACAGCTGTGTGATTAATATATTTTGATACGGTAAATATTCCAGAGGTTGATGTCCCGAGGTTATTCTCGACGTTGACATACAGCCTCTCTGTTTCGCGATCGATACACATGTTTTCTCGATCTCGATCAAAACCATGCTCGGTGTAAACTTGACACGAATTCAACGTCTTCGAATTTAACACGAAAAGACCTCAGATACCATCTTTAGCGCATATATGTGTGCGTGAAATATACTTTATAGATATGGACATCAATACTTATTAATGAGGAAATTGATTAAGCTTTAATAATTAAAGATTATCTATCTTCTGCAAACATATTTGCACAACAGCGAACAATCCAGCAAAATCGACATTAATAAAATTAATTACGTTAATCGCAATTAAAACTCCGATTTCATTATGTCATTTACATCATGTTATGTATACATAAAGAATATAGAAAGAACGTTACATAATTTGTTACATAAAGAGCACAAGAAACAAATATGCATTATAGTGCAATGACCGTAAAGAAAAGATAAATACATGAATATTTAAGTCATGAGTGCTTTCAAACCGAATATTGAAAATAACATTTACCTAAAATATTAAAAAATGAAGGAATGAAGAAATTCTAGTGCAAATTTTGCAATTTTTGGATTCAATGTCTTGAAATGCTGCTATCGCTGCATTTCGGCGTGGCGTCAACATTACGTAACGCTCTATATACGAACCTAAACGACCACCTGTTCTATCGCATCGTCGTTAAACAGTCCTTATGATGCAAATTAAGAAAAATTCTACGAGGCTAATTCATTGAAAAAAAATAGATATAAAATAATTTAATCGCTAAAAAATATTTTTTAATTGTTTAATTTAGTACTTTATAAAAATCTCTGCAATTTACTTTAATTTAATCTATATTTGAAAAAATTGTAAATCAGTCATATTTTATAATTGCTCTAAATAGAAAATTTTTAAAAAATAAAGAAAAGAAAACAATTGACAAAGGTATGAAATCTCTTATTCATGCTATCTGGTTATCCATTTTATATAACATTACTTAAGACGAAAGTTAAATTAATCCATATAAAAAATTAATTCTGAGTATAATTTGCAAATCCTATAATTAAGAAAATCTCTTCCAACGTTTAAAAACTCTATAGCAATAAGATATTTTGAACATGTTTTTTAGCTCGAAATCTCTTCGACAAAAATATTATGGAAGAAATAAAGATTATAAACAATACAATGCAGTGAATTATCATAATATATTATTTGCACGGTAAAATACAGCCTAATTATTTTTTTCCCCAGATACTATTTCATAATTCTTTCTTTATTCGCATCACCTCAATTCTGCGACTATTTCACGAGTCCAAGAGCAATGTACAACGCTTTTCACGCGCTCCTCGGAAATTAACCGGTGGTTTTAATTATTCCTGATTAACTGGAAAAAATTACACGCGGCTACACGGATGATCTCACTTGTACGAGCAACTGCGCGATGACGCCAGCAGCTTGAACGGCCTTCTCCTGTACGAGAGCAAGAGAGATCGAAACGGTGTCACGCGAAATTCCGATAGGCATACATACATATGGAGGCCGAATGTGTGAGCCGATTTTTTTTCCCTTTTTTTCGACCTACGCATCTCTTGCCGAGATGATCTTCATGTCTGAAAGCTGCGCCTTTGTCTTGGAGCGAAAACATCAAGTCGTTCGTTGATTAGCACTTTTGCGTCTGTACTTTTCACGCACGTTTATTTAACTAAATGCATCTGTCAGATTTTGAAATTTATACTTAATTTATATTTAAATTAATTTTATAAGAGTTTCTCTGATTAAATATTTACCACAAAAAATATTAATATATGTACATAGTAAATTATACTATGTATATAGTAAAATTAATCGAACATATTTTATATCTTATTGTGATAGATATTAATATTTTTATTGTGGTGGTAGATATTAATATTTTTCATGGTGTGTATTATACTAGATTGTCTCAAGATTACCATAATTTTCAAGATAAATTCTAAGAGAAAATTCTTTCTGTGTGTTGATGAAGGATTAGATATTTCAATTTTATGTTAACATATCTGTGAAATCTTAATTCTGAAACTCTCGTAGTAAGCGAATTATAATTATGAAGATGACGTTGGAAAAAAACGAGCAACTCGCTAATGCTGCATTTTTGTGACTACAGAATATCTTATGTATTATCACGGAATATAATATTTAAAAAAATGCACATGACAATTTTCATTTACAAAAAGCACAACTATGTAAGGAATTTGCGTCTAAGATTGTATTGGTTGGAATGAAATTGTAAAATGCACGCACAATTTCCTTTACACGTATTATTAATACATATCTGACTGTTGCATCAATCGTTGTCACTATTCACTGAACACTAAATACTACATAATGTTGTATGTACCGAAAGGTGTAGTTATCTAGGTTTTTACTCTCAGATGCTTTCGACATACCACATCGCGCACACGTGTAAAAAAACAAAATATTAAAAATTAATTAAAACTGTTAACGATAAAATTACTAATCTAACTGTGGCATAATATCAAACATTTATACTAGGTAGATTTATACTAGATGTATTCGATTATAAAGTGCAAATTACAATGCGGCTTGAATTTGTGCTGCACCTAAGGTCGATGATACTGCGTGTGTGTGTGTATTAGTTATAAAAGTATTCGTGCGTATATATGTCATCGAGTACGTACGCGTATCGTTCTTTACCGAGGATTGCGTTAAACCACAAAGCGGTTCTCAATTTTCTTTACTTTATCAAATTTGCTGATGATAATTATATATATTATTTTGAACGAATCTTATATAATTTAAGAAACAAAAGAGAGAGCGCGTACTTTCATTTTTATTATATTTTTCAAGAAATTTCTATTACGTATTTTTTATGGAATACTATTTGAGTACCTCTAAACAAGATATGCGATAACAGGTTTAATATCATAAAGATAATCGAATTCTAAATTAAACAATGTCTGTTATCGTTTAAAGGAAGCTTTGCGACGTCTATACAAATTAATTTAGAGCAAAAATAAAAAGGAGCAAAAGATAAATGAAGAAATAAGTATGATGATCAAAAGTAGAGCAACTTTTTTTTTACGTAAACGATAAGTATGTTAAATATTTTCACACTGCAATGATACAAATAGATATGATAACGTAACAGGAAACTCAATATATGCCCACATATCACTATATAGAAATCCTACATTGTTTTATCATGTTTCCGTACTTTGCATGCGCATCGTTTTCGCACACCACGTTTCTCAAGAATAAATTTCACCCATTAATAAATATTGAAAATGTGTCTATTTCAAGATTACTGCATTTTATTAGCGCGATATGACGATGTATGACTCAGCTTCTATTTTTAAATTCAAATATGCAGTTAAAATTTAACATTACGCGAATCTTCTTTAAAATCGATTGATCGTTTCAAAATCAAAACTTTATAATAATATCGAGATTGTGGTTTTCGTAAAACGGGAGAAAAAATTGTAAAAAAATTATTTCACCTTTATGCCAGCCTCGCCTTTGTGATACCAAGTTTTTCTTCTTTGGATGCCAGACATTTTTCACTCTTTTTAAGTTTTCTTTCGCGTTCAATTTAGAACATTATCGATTCGCGTATTTATTATTTTATGTATCTGCACATTATCTCGAAATTCGCATAAATAACGTCCATTAATTGATAAAACCGATAATATTTGTGACAATAAGAAAAATATCGAAAATCAGTAGCGTTCGATCTTGCCTCGGCGTTATTAACAAAGCGACTGCCGCAAAAGGTAAAACGTTTCGCTGATGACATTACGGAATTTGCTGATAAGAAATGCAAAAAGCTTATCTCGAAATATACTACTTGTTGAAGATTAGAATTGATATATTGTATTTTTAAAAAAAAGTGACATAAAGCAAAATACAGATGCTTCTAGAATTATCTGAGAACAACTATTATTAATTTTTTGTGTATGCAGCCCCAGAATAATTTAATTATTGCATCACACATTCTAAAGTAAGACGTGATTCAATTCTAAAGTAGCTATTATTTTTAATTTGAATCACAATAAGCTTCAGAAACTTCAATTTGAATGTTGTGCATTATCTTTTACGTTTGTATACACACATATGATGTTAATAATTTCTTATTTATTAATAATATTTCTTATTTCTTATTTATGTATATTGTGTATGCAGCCCCAGAATAATTTAATTATTGCTTCACACATTCTATTGTAGCTATTATTTTTAATTTGAATCACAATAAGCTTCAGAAACTTCAATAATTGAAATTATCTTTTACTTTTGTATACACACTTTATCCCTTATTTTTTTGTATAAAGTTAATTTATGATTATTATATATATATGTATATTACATAGTTTGCTGCATTGTATTCTTTTATAATCTTTATTTCTTCTTAATAATATTTCTTTATTAAAAAATTAATTCTGGCATTAAAATTTAATAAAATTTACTTACAAAGCCAGTAGGCTTGTCCCTTCTATTCGCCATGATCTCGTTTTCCGTTTTGTGTTATCTTCTTCTATACATTACTCTGAAAAAAAATTACAGAATTAATATTTGTTATTTATAAATAAATATATTTTCTCAATGAAGTCTCAGCAAAAAATATTTTTAAAATTACAATATTTTAATTAATGAATAATCATATTTTTCAATCCGTTCCATTTTGAAAGCATAACATGTAACAGGTGGTTTGCCTATATGGCGCTTCTTTTATTAGAATATAAAATAGTACCTTTCAAAATTATCATTTGCAAACACAGTAAGAGTTAATTACAAGTAAATCAAAGAAAATAGTATTTTTCTTTACAAAATATAAAAATATTAAATATATATTTTATAAGTAATTAAACTGTTCTCTCTCTCCTTCTCTGGTTTCATATTATTTCAACAACTATAAACAAAAGTTTTTACTTTGTTACACTTCAAGCTTAATATGTCATTTTCGTTTAAATGTATATTGAAATACGAAATACATCTACATAAAAACATGTATGCATAATTGAGATAAAGGTTAGTTTTTATAATTAGAGAAAAATATGGAACAATAAATACAATACATCCGCCTTCCTGAACGACTGGCAATGTTGACAAGTAGCTTTTCGAGCGAATAAAAAAATTCGTCCTTGAGTTACAACAGAATCTTAACTGAATCTAACGATGAGTAGGCGTTCGTTAAATAAAGCAACGCTTCGCATTATAGGTTAATGTTCGATGACGTCGAACTTTGCTCACTTTCGTAAGAATAAGTTCGAATTTCTTCCGCCTGTCGTGAGAAAAATAATATATTTCGCATTACCTGAATTTATCGAGCTCTCTCTCTGGATTTGCACGCTTTCACGTATACAAGGGCACTCTGTTCGATATTATTCCACAGCGTCGTCGGTATTTTCAGGGAAAAGTCGGAAAATTGGCAGCGCGTTCGCGAATTGACGCGCGATCGAACGATTCCTCCGATGAAGAATTCCACTGACCTTTCTAACGAGATGCGTATTATACGTAAAAAGAAAAAAATGTCCGTTGCTCTACACGCCGTATTTGTTGCAACAATTCCGAATTGCGCGACCGACGCAACGTGCGAGCGCGAAACAGTGATACAGAGAGGGAGAGAAACACTGCCGCCAACTGTCAAAACTAAAATTTATAGGGTCACGACTTCACCGATTGCGAATTATCGCGGGAAAAAAAATGCACGATTATAATTTTTGCGGAATTATATGCAATTTTAGGCTTGTTTTTTGTTCCTACACTAACGAACTAGTGCACACTGATGCAACAAATTAGAATAAGACAAGTATATTTTGTCTCACTCTAATATAGCGTTTTTCATGACATAAATAATTAAAAAAGTAAAATAATTCATAGTAAGAGCTATTAATTATTGTTGTTCAACAAAAATAATGATAATAATAGCTCTTACTATTAATTATTTTACTTTTTTAATTACTTATGTAATTGTAAAAATGTGTGCGCGAGGACCTTTATTATGTGCACTCAATGCGCATTAGTTTTCCCAGTGAAAAACTCTAACTTATTGCACTAGTTTATTAGCGCAGGAACAGAAAACAAGCCTTTTGTTATGTACGCACCGAATTCGTTTCTTATCAAATAACAGCTGATTTTAAAATCGAAAACGGTTCGTCAATCGATGATCGCTATCTCATTTTAAAACCCGATTTTCACGAAACTAAAAGTTGAAGTTCAGAGTCACTGGTCCCGCACTTTGATTCCTGTATCACGAGTCTCAGCCAATCAGCGATCGAGGTTTCGTGTCGCGGCGACGTGTCCACAACGACGCGATATCGAAAAGCCGAAGACGACCGAGCCGCGCCGAGGCCCGCCGAAGAGCCTTCGTGACGTCATGTTGGAGCAGAAGAGATAAGACAGTCAGAAGAAGGGTATCCTGACTATTTTCTGGTGTATATCGGAGTTTCAATTACTCAAGTGTCCGATCGGTTTCGTCTTACGATAATGTCGTACGCGTATCTGTTCAAGTATATCATTATCGGAGACACAGGTAAATAAACGACGCTTGGGACGAACATTTCCGCGAAACGGGAACCTTTGTCCCGTGGCTTTCTACGTCGTCTTTGACAGGCCCTTTTGTTTTCGTTTTCGCGTGGTGGGCGAGGATATCGTTGATTCGTAAATTCGAGAAATTTTTTTTTTTAACTGTCACTGACGAGGGATTCTCTTGCCTCGAAAACGTATTTGTTCTCTTTAAATATGTATGTCGCGTATGTCAGCATATTTTCCAATAGATTTCAAATTTTCTCGGTTTTTGCATTGTTGTTTGGTTTGTTGTTGTTGCGGGCAGTTTGAGTTCTCTCTGTTTAAGATTTGACTATTTTGCTGATTTTAATGGTGACAGCTATAAATAGCATCTTTTATAATAGAATTATTCACATTCTGCAACTAGGTACATTTTGTATACTATGTATATAGTATCATAAATGAAGATATTACTATAATTTTATTTTTTTGTAATATCATTAATAGATTTGTTGGCAAGTGTACTATTGATTATTGTATTAAATAATACATATGAAATTAAATAAATGCAATCTTATAAATATAAAAGAGCTTATTGATATTAATTATTAAAGTTTTTCTATTTGCATATATATATATACAACAGAATAATAAAAAATATCTATTACTAGGATTTTACAGTCATAGATTGTGATTTAAAAATCCTGATACTTTTATATAGGAGTTGGCAAATCCTGTCTCCTTCTTCAATTTACGGATAAGAGATTTCAACCGGTTCATGACTTGACAATAGGAGTCGAGTTTGGTGCTCGTATGATTACCATTGATAGCAAGCAAATTAAATTGCAGATTTGGGACACTGTAATTATTTTTAATTCTATATATATATATTATCACATTATATTATGCTACTAATGTTTATTAAGCAAAATTCACAATCAAGAGTTGTCAATAATTAATATCCAAATTAATATACATTATTGTTCATATAAAGAAACTTGTATAAATTTCAATTTTTATTGAAAAAAAAATTTTAATCATTCTTCATGTATGCAATATAACTTTATATTGTTTTATTTAATCCTACTAAGATGTATGAATAAAGTTTTATATTATTTTTATATTACTATTTAAGTAGTGGATATTAATTATTAATTATTTTTGTAATTCATGCTTTATATAGGCAGGTCAAGAGGCATTTCGTTCTATAACAAGGTCGTATTATCGTGGAGCAGCTGGAGCTCTGTTGGTATATGACATTACACGTAGAGAAACTTTTAATCATCTTACAACATGGCTAGAAGATGCAAGGCAACATTCAAATTCCAATATGGTTATCATGTTAATTGGCAACAAAAGTGATTTGGATAGTCGAAGAGAAGTAAGGAGAGAGGAAGGTGAAGCTTTTGCACGAGAGCATGGTCTTGTCTTTATGGAGACTAGTGCTAAGACTGCAGCTAATGTAGAAGAAGCATTCATCAATACTGCAAAAGAAATATATGAAAAGATACAGGAAGGAGTTTTTGACATCAATAATGAGGTATGACAGAATGTTTGTAATTATTTTACATAGATTCTGTACACATATAAATTGAGAGATACCAAAAATGTCATGCTCATATCATTATTCTTATTAACATTTTAATCTATTATTTACTAAAGTTAAGAATATATATATATATTTTTATATTTATATAAATCATAAAATGTAAGCATATTTATATTAATTTATATCAATGTGTAAAAAAGATAAGAACTAAAAGGTAAAATATGCAGATAAAATGAAATTATTTAATTATTTACTTTTTCATATTATTTTATTTTGTTTTAGATTATAATTGCATTTATATTATTTTCTGAAAATTTCATGTAAAATAAAGATACAACTATACATATAGTTTCTAAAATAAGGTGTTTCCAAACTAATATGACAACTGAATTGCATAGGCAAATGGTATTAAGATTGGACCACAACATTCGCCAACAAGTCCTGGAGGTTTAGCAGGAACTGGTGGACAAGGTAGTGCACAGGGTGGTGGGTGCTGCTAGGGGCTGGGGCTTATTTGTCCACCGCTTCATCCTTCTCCGATCTGAATTGACCTTATTCCTGCTCTTTATTTTAATCTGAACACACTTTGTACAATTTAATTCTGCGCATGCCGTGTCATGAGGTAATTGATGTATTTATTAGTTGAAATAATCTTATACACATAATAAATAGATAGGATTATTGTAAGACGAAAATGTTATAATCACTAAAATCATGAAGCATTAATAAAGTCTTTATTTAAATTTTCCTAAAGATATGAAAATGAAGTTATGTCATTTTTAATATATTTTTAGTAAATTTAATTCTAGAAAGAGCAGAAAATTATATATATTAATATTATATACTTTTCAATTTAATATATATATATATAATCATTTTCGTTCTTGCACACATCACATAATAGTTTTACCCTTTAACATGAGATATATATTTTGAAGATTTATTTAATTTTTATTTAGAAAACTACGTTTATTTTTAAGAACGCATAGTTTAATATAATTTAACTTTATGATTATATTGTAAAGTCTGGCAGGTTTGTCCCCCCCCCTCCCCCACTTTATGTAGCACGACATAAATAATTATATTGAGTAATATTATTTGAGAATGAGAAAGCAGAAGAGAACAGGCGTTTCTATTTAATGTTTTATATATATATATATTTGTTTAATACATATTGTGTACTGTAATGTAATGTGCACTAATGATCAAAATTCCATTTTATTGATAGTGGCTCATGGATACTGATGTATCAGTTTAACTAATTTGACATGATTTACATCTAATTATCTAAAATAATACTATATATATATAATATGTGTATGTATTGATGTATAAGATGATGATTATATAAAACATATATTAATCAATGCCAACAGGAGGCCTATATTCAATTAGATTTATATTCTATATGATAGTTACAAGAAATCTTATTGCATATGTTATAACAATTGGTATCATTATTTATGGTACTTTGCTGAAAATAAAGGCATTATTAGTGATATAAGCAAATCAAAAATACATTTTTACAATTTATATTATAACTATAAAATTTCTAAAAACCGCATATAATACAAAAATTATATTTAAAACCATAGATAAAGATACCGATATGAGTATAGCAATGATATAATTTCACCTGTATTTCATCAAGCTCCAAAAATGGTTACAAATATTCTTGTTTGTTTCAAGAATTATTATGAATCTGCAGAGACATGAGACACGAAAAATATTCACGTATATGATGAAATAAAAGATAAGCTCTAATAGTGCACATTATTGTATTTATCTAAAGATTTGTCAGCTGGCAAGAAAATTATATATATTAATATTAATGTTTCTTGATGAAATTATGAGGAAACGTGCATTTATAAGCATGAATATATTATATCTAATTAGTACAAAATTGGCTTCTTCAGCATTATTGTAATCAAATGTTATTTATAACTCAAATTATGAGCTTATATCTATACCAAAAAAATGTATTTATATCTGCAGCATTGTATATCTTTTTTGCGCTTGTATACTGTAACGATCAAATGATGTACATTGACTTCAAAAAATTATGTTCGATACATTTGATTTAATATAATCTAGCGATTATTCTACATCGTTAACATTAATTAATTGACGGTTGTATTCTATATGTATGCTTTGGGCATATCTTTTTAATTGGAAAATATATATGTGCACATTACTTATTGTTCTTGATCCTAGGATACATTATGAAATATAGACTTTAAACTGTTTCAGGATTGCATGAGATAAATATATATTAATGAGCATAATTGCCCTGCAAAAAGGACGACTGCAAGTTTTAATTAACAGAAAAAATGAATATAAATCATTTAATATTACATCATACTTAAAGTTACATATTTCATAATGATATTTTTATTCAAATGACAAAATTGATTTTCACAATATTGTTATAAATTATATTAATATATTATATATAATTATATATTATATATTATATATTAATATATTATAAATTATATTATAAATTTTAAAAAATATTTAAATTTATCAAATCGATATATTATTAAATAATGTAAAAGTTTAGAAGAAATTTTAACAAATTGTAAATTTAGGATATAAGATATAACTAATAACGATTATACTAATTTTTATGCTATTCGAACAAAGTAAATAGATTTTAAGTAGTTTCAAAATGTCGCGCGCGCAATACACGTGCGCACTTTCCTCAACAGCTGATTTGTCAAAGTCGAGTCCGCGGTCGAGTCGAATGTCGCGCTGCATCTCGGAAATATGCCGTGACTGTACACGTCTTGGCTGTTTTACCAGCGGAAGTGCCATCGTCAGTCGGCCCCGGCAACGGGTTCGCGCGCAGAGTATTTGAGAAGAACATCATCGGTCAACCCTCACCGCTTCGACAACGAGATATACGTGCATTATTTGGCGTCTGACGATCCTATTAATCCTCCTGCTGTCAAACACGGTGTGCCAAGGAGACGACGCCAGTGGACGCCATGATGGTAGGTGGAACCTGTTATCAATCGGTGGCCGGCGATCCGTTCGTTCGACTCGTTCGCGATCCCACTAAATGGTTTTAAACGTCCTTTAATCTATGCAAAAAATGTTGCAGGACGGTATATGTGACACTGCCGACATCTTAAACAGCGTGCCTGCGAAGAAGGTATTTATGATGTTGTTTCTCTGTCCTTCTCTCTTCCTCGTAATCTCTCGCTCAAATACTTCCCCGATTGATAAGATGCATATTATCACAATTTGGTCCGACTTTGTTCTCGTGTTGACATTTCAGTGTCGTCTGTTACAATAGTTGCTTTCCATTTACATCAAAACTCAGATAAATCTCACTTCTGTCTTTCTTTAACGTGGATGTTGAAGAAGTAAGATTTATCTGAGTTTTAATGTAAATGGAAAGCAACTAATGTGTGAATCTCTTCTTCCAGACAATCCATGCTGATACCATAGATCTCTCGGATAAGTCCCTGCAGGTGGACATTTCGGATGCTCTCAGCGAAAAGGATAAAGTAAAGTTTACTGTACATACAAAAACTACTCTACCTGAATTTCAAAAGCCGGACAATCTAGTTGTGAGGCAGCATGAAGAGTTTGTATGGCTCCATGATCGATTTGAAGAGAACGAAGAGTATGCTGGTTACATTGTATGTGAATTTTTTATCTTTTGGCATACATTTTTAAAATTCTCGTTTTGTTTTTATTAATATTATATATTAATGTTTTTATATATTAATGTTATATAATAGATTCCACCATGTCCACCAAGACCGGATTTTGATGCGTCACGTGAGAAGTTGCAAAAACTTGGCGAGGGTGAAGGAAATATGACACGTGAAGAATTTAATAAGATGAAGCAAGAATTAGAAGCGTAAGTTTTTATGTCGTTTTATCCTATAGTTTTATTATCATATTTTAACTGATAAAGATTTATTAGTATCTAATCTTAATATATTTATTATCTTGCAGGGAATACTTAGCCACTTTTAAGAAAACTGTTGCTATGCACGAAATGTTTTTGACCAGACTGGCGCATCATCCAGTTTTTCGGAATGATCATAATTTGAGGGTATTCTTAGAATACGATCAAGATCTTTGTGTACGAGGTAATGTTCTTGTTAGACATTTTGCACAATGTTACAATGCAAACATAAAATGGAAGTAGATGTAGAACATATATTCTGTTTATTTGTGCAGGAAAGAATAAAATGGAAATGTTTGGTGGTCTAGTAAAGTCGTTTTCTAAAACTACCGATGAATATTATTTATCGGCTACAGTAAAAGATGTGAATGATTTCTTTGATCAAGAAATGACATTCCTTCAAACTTATCACCATAATCTAAAAGAAGCAACAAGGTTGGCTGATCGTCAAACAGCTAAACATAAAGATGTAGCAGATTCATATATAAAGATTTCCACCAATCTTTTACAATTAGCTACAACAGATACTGGAAAACTTGAAAGATTTTTAACTAAAATTGCTGAGACTTTCGAGAAATTACGAGTAAGAACATTTTATAGAATATAATTTTAAAGTTTTTATTAAATTGTTTTTACTACTAAGTTTTTACAAAATTTGCTATCATTGTTTATAAAAATGCTTTTTTTTTTACAGAAAGTTGAAGGACGGGTAGCATCAGATGAGGATTTAAAATTATCAGACACTCTTCGTTATTATATGAGAGATACAGCTGCAGCTAAAAGACTTCTCTTTAGAAGACTGAAAGCTTTACACGAATATGAATCTGCGAATCGCGCCCTTGAAAAAGCTCGTGCCAAAAATAAGGATGTTCACGCAGTAAGTCCACATTTTCCTATAATTTTCAAATTGATATTCATACAATGTAGTATGATACCCTCAGATATAATTATGATTATGAATCAACACAGAGGAGGGCAAGTAAAATATAATGAATACAAATATTTATTTTTAAGATCATATTTATTAATGTCATAGCAGTTAAAATAAATCTGCAGTTATTAGATACTCAGGGCAAGCAAAATATAATGAATACAAATTTTTATTTTTTAAATCATACTTATTAATGTCATAGCAGTTAAAATAAAACTGCAGTTATTAGATAATCACATTATGACCATGGATGGCATCTAATCAGAACTTCAATTTTTCTTGCTTTTCAAGGCACTGGAAGTTGCTGAGGTGTGTCATGTATTTGTGTCATTCATGTTTTTGTGGTAGTGCTTAAAAAATATTAGATCCTATTTAGATCAGCTCCTCTCTCTCCATCCGTTTTTTAAATATGCAGAATGCTGAAATTCGATCGATACTTTTTTTGATCAATTTGTTTGTTATAATACATAGTAACATTTTATTTGAATATTAGTTTTATTGTTAATATGATAGTATAAGTTTATTATTAAATAATATGAGAAAGATATTGATTTTATACGTTTTATTTCTCTATCTAAAATCAAGATTTCTACAAGATTTCTACTTTACACAGATTTTATATACAGATGAATAATTAATATGCAAAATATATATATACATATATATACATATATATGAGATAATTTCATTTTAAATAGAAAGATAAATTGGCACGAATTAATTATTGCAGCACAGACGTTATTGTTGAATATTATGCATGAATGGACAATTGCATGCATTGAAACATTATTATAATAATTTATATCATTAATTTACATGATATGACTATATCTTTACAATAGAGGTGTGTCATTATGAGTTTTGTTGATATTTGTGGCTACGCTAAGCTAAATATTACATAATATAATTGCATCTTGAAAGTTTTCAATCGAAAAAAAACGGGTTTAATATTTTGTGATATTTTAAATTTGTATTTATATTGTAATCAAGGCGGAACACGCACAGACTGAAGCATGTGAGAAATTTGAACAGATGTCTGATAAAGGAAAAGAAGGTAAGAAGAATTAAAGAAATAAAATAATTAGAAACAGACATATATTATTTACTATTGATTATTTAAATTGTTTAAAGCATTAATATTAATACTTGCAATACCTTTTTAGAATTATTAGATTTCAAGACTAGGCGAGTAGCAGCATTTAAAAAGAATCTCATTGAATTAACAGAGCTGGAAATAAAACATGCTAAAGTAAGTATAGAACTCATAGTTTTTAAGCTGAAGTAATAAATGAAGTAATAAATAAAATTACAGATATATATACACAATATATATCGAAAATATATTAATGTCATATGTTTACAGTCGCACGCGGAATTGCTCAAGAAATGTTTATCCGTACTCCGGGAAGAGTGATCTTTTAGCGTTGCCATGGATAAACCTATATGCATGCGTCTTGTATGCAGATAACAGTTTATTTAAGATATAATGATACTGTAAAATACTATATATATTTTTTGTTAACTAAATTTATTAGATCTATCATACTTTGGAAATAAAATATTGTATTAATAGCTGCAAAGTGACTGCGAAAAACGGATATTACTATCTTTGAGCTGTAAAAAGCTATGCAAACAATGCTATCGGTTTCTGCTTAATAGATATTAAGTAAGCAATTTTATAAGAGATTTAGATAATACATGTGTTAGGAAAAAAATAACACGCATTTCTATTGTAAAAAATTAGATTTTATCGAGTCCCTTTGCAGCTTTGAATTAAGAGCCTGTTACTCTTATAAAGGTTCTCTATATAAACAAATATATATATAGAAGAGAGAGATATATATATCTATATATACATATATGTATAAATAAGAATATATCCATATATATGGAGCATGTTATTATTATATTTAAGTATAGGATAAATTTTGTGAAGGAGGACTCGTTAGTATAAAAGCTCAGGATGATTAAAGTTAATACAAACAATTAGATTTTCATAAATGATCTTTCCAGATTTTTATGACGATTACACTGATAATTATTCTGACAAATAATTATTCATAATTGCGTTCGTTTTAAGATTAGGAAGCAAAGCAATGCGGCAATGATTAAAGGGACCTTGAAACGATTTATAATAAAGTGCAATTATACTTTTCATTGTAGCGTTGTAAAGCCACATTTACACTTTTATGTTCTTTCGTTATGCATTTCATCGCCATTTTCGTTTGCCGTGCAAACTGGATCGAACACTTTATTATTCATCTTGTGTAAATTGAGAAAAAAAGAGAAGCATGCTTTATACGTTTGAAATCATTCGAGCAAAATTGCTTCTTCATCAGAGATGAAATAATTGCACACAAATGTATTTTCGTAAGTTTTTATTGAATCGAATCATTTTTCTTTTCTATAATACATGATTGCAGACATATACTGAGAAATTCATTAAGTTGCAAGTTTTATCGTTTAATTCTTTAAGAATTAATTCGAAATCCACCGTAATGTACCGTACATTATCGTCTTATCCTTAATGTCAGATCCTATGAATATCCTATGAGTGAGTGCAGATAAACGCGCTGCGATGCGGACAACGTCGTATCCCGTTTATCGTACGCCGGTCTTAATTAATTTGGTATCGTTACACCGTACAGTTAATAATATAATCTTAATAATAACGAACAGTAAAGACGACGCAATAGAAAATATTTGTTTTTTTTTGGTACGCAAAAGTCACGCTGGAAAACGTCTCGCTCTTTCAACACCTCTTTCTATTTCTCTTGTCTTGTTTTTTATCCTTATATATGTATATATTCTCAATCACTATTTTACAAATATCGAATTGCGATAAGTCGGATATATCGCATATTTTTTTTGAGAACTATACTAATACACGCACTTCCAGTCCAACAGTATTGCTTTTATTACGTCTGTATCATTTGTGAACATATGAATTTATCTATGAACTTTTTTAACACATTTTAACAAGCAAATTATGCTACAACTAATTACAATTATTCACTACTAAATGTATACATTTATGGCAGTTTTAAAAAGATATCTTAAAAAGACACGTAGTAATTTTATTCCATTTACGAAAGTGATGAATTCATCAATTATGCGTTCGATAATATTTTTATTTCATGAAAAGAACATAATTAAAAAAAAATAAAAAACATTAAAATAAAAGAATATTTCTATAGGAGATACGCTTTTCTCGAGATACGTTTATTAAATATTTCGTTCGAAATTATTGATTAAAGTTTCGCTCTAACGAGTCATATTTCGGAGTAAAATTCTAATCGGTATGCACACATACATAGAGATGTGCGGAGTATAATCCCACGGGTCTGCTAACAATTGTTATTCCATTGTGTATGTGTGGAACAATGAATGCGGTCCATATTATATTTTAATTCAACTTTATTTCGCTCGTTGGCATTATCATCGGACCATATTACTGCGGAAGCGTTCATTTCGGAGAATTTATCGTTCTCACGCGGTACAAACGCGGCTGGTTATCGGGAATGCACGATCGCTGTTAATTACACGGCAGGTAATTATCGATTCTCATTGATCAACGAGTAGGAGCATTCGCCGGTCGATTATGCTTGTCCGCCACATGATGATGAATTTTTCACAAGCAATGGACATTTAAACGCGAATAGCTTTTTTATTTTATGATCGTTAAACTGATATCCTGCGCAGAAAGAATAATGTGGAGATTAAATTCGTAAATTGCGTGAACAAAGGCAATGTCAAGTGAATGTATTATATATATAGTTTTCACGATTTTATTTCATTTGTCAGAAGTATAAGCGCGCACTCAATTTTGTATATATTTCAATTATTTGTATATTACACATGTATCTTAAAAAATTGTTTGATACAATTTGTTGAGAAAAAAATATTAATTACAATATTTGTCACCAGAATTATCTTGTGAAATTCTCTTTGAAATTACAAAAATTTTCATGCAAAATATATAAATATAAGATGTTTTTGAATAATTTTATTTTTATCTTAAAATTTTTTTTATGATTTAATAACTTTATTTAATATCAAATAGGATTTTTATTTAAAGTTTTAAAGGCGCAGCACTTTAAAACTTTAGTCGGCAAATTGTGTTGCGAGTTTTAAATTGAACCGAATTTCTTCTTACGAGAGAGACGCGTTAATTTATATTATATAACTATACTATAACATTTAGTCACGTGTCAGAAGATACGAATACTTGAATATCCGTCAGATGCCCAAGACGCTGCTATTAAACGCTTGGTTCAAGTCGTTTCAAAGTTTTATTAGCTGTCACGGCATGGAGAGAGAAAGAGAGAGAAACACGACTCTATTAATATCCAAGTAATTGAGAACGAAATAGAGTCTTATAGAAAATACCTATTTGCACATTTATGCTGATATTTATGCGAATAAACAAGCCTGAGAGAGAGAGGTACTCTGATGTCTGTATTCGAATTTCTCTTGATGTGCATCGCATGTTATTTTTTCATTTTTTACTCTTCACAATCGTGTAAAGATTTATTTTGTTGTATTCAATTTTACACATTTATGTGAGTTTAAATTTATATTTAAATATATATATTCAATTTTTTTTCATGCGACGTACACTGAAAAATTGTTAACTTGACTAAATCTTTCAACTAAATTACTATTTGATAATTGAACATATAGGTTTTAGTATTTAAGTCAAATACACGTTTTGTTAGATTTTTGACATGTTATATTTAATTTAAATAATTTTATATGTCCAATTAACAAAATATTATTTAATTGAACAATTTAATCAAGTTAATAATTTTTTCAGTGAAACACGAAAAAAATTAGTTACTATAGCTAAATTTTAGCTGTTCTTATATTACACATAAAATTTAGTTTCATGCTTAAATTTTAGCTATGATAGCTAATATTTGTTAGCTATAAAATTCTCTATTAAACTATGGCTAAAAAATATTGGTTGCCATAGCAAAAATTTAGGCATGATAACTTTCAGGTTGTAATATGAAGACAGTTAAAATTTAGTTATGGTAGCTAATTTTTGTTCCGTGCACGCTACATACTTTGCTGTTAAAATTTTCTTGAGATCATCGTCATCGCCAATGTCAATCTTAAACTTTTATCGTCGATTCTGAATGCTAATTTTTTAAATAACATAGTGTGGTTTAACTAACATAGTTTTAAATAACATAGTGTGGTTCCCAAAAATAAAATCGTCTGCCTTGAAAGCAAAATTTACATTACGTGGCGCTACAATATATGTGATCGACTATATATAAGGTTTTTTTTTGTATTCGTCGGAAATCGTAAATCGACGAAGCCGACCTACTTAAAGGCTACAGTTAGATTTGGCATTTAAACGTAAGCCCCGTATGCGTACCAGTACCTAAAATAAAATCTCGTGCTCGATAAATGGCGCGCATTAATTTATTCCGAGACACCCGCGTGTGATCTCTCTCTTTTGGTCGTCGCGAAAATACGGTGATGAAGAATGCAGAGACTCGGAACCAAAAGCGGGCGAGGGAAAGCGTAGTAATATATATCTACGCGGTTGTGCGGGAGATTTTCAGCAGATTTATGATAACGGTATGCATCTGGGTCGGCCAATCAGTCTTCCGCCCGCTGGGCTGCAATCCTGGGCTCTCGTTTGCACCTGTACTTCGCGTTCGAATCTCGAATCGAATTCAAATCTGGTCAGTCTAATTGTCTACGATGTCTAGCTGGAAACTCGAAATAGATTAGCCCCGATTATATCCGTTCGCCCGCCATATGAATCTCGAATGAAATTCAATCGCCAAATCGGTGTCCGCGGGATAAGAATAATTGTTCGCTCGAATTTGGGATCGTTTGTTCCCAAAATCGCGCGATTATGTTCAGATGCATTTTGCTTCGTTGAATTTGTTTTCTTTTCTCGGAAATGTCGAGAGAGAGAGAGACATGGAAACATTGTAGAGAATTGTTCCGATTAGAATCCCTATTATTGGAATAATAATCATTGATGTGATGATTCATGACATGTTGACGTACAAGCATATTATTGAAATCATTGTTTTTCATCACAAATACACGTCGCTGCATTATTATAGCGCGCACCATTCATGCATTATTTGTATTTATCATCAAATTGTGCATAAAATTGTTTATAACACAAATGCAACTATCGATCGCACATTTGTCACGATTGATGTCAATAATTTATTAGATATTTACAGCGAACGAGAGACGCGTGAATTGCAAGAGCGAATTAATAAACGCTAAGTAATTATAGAGTTTAGTGGATGTGTGAATGGAGCGTGTGTTAAAATTTCATGCGAAAACAATGTGATCGAAGCGACACATCGTCAAATTACTAATGAATTTTCCTCTCGAATAATAATAATTTTACGCGTCCCCTGCTTTTTTCTTCTATAAAACCTGCCTTCGAGAACTTTTTCTCATATTCTGCATAACACGTATGCTGCAAATGCGTCCACA